AAAGACCTGCGGTCACGGCACACAACTCGATCTGTTCCTTACAGTGTTGTCTTCTAATTACAGGTGACCGCAGTAGGAATGACAAATGGTACGTACTCTGGAATCACTCCCTGTAGCAGGAATAGTCCAGATGGTGACATAGGGGAGACTACCCTGGGGACTTTATCATGCATGGTCACCTGATGCCAGCTCCTTGCTGTGGAAGGGAACTGGGGATGCAGTCATAAAGCTCAGAGCATGCACAGCACAGTGGGATCTGGGGGGTTTTCAGATGGAGGCTGGAGCCACTGTCATTCAGGCGTGGGGAAAGTGAGACACTGAGAGGAGGAGCCATCAGCTCCTCTCCCTCACTGGAAGGCTTGAAGCTGTGGTCAATGTCTGGCTGAGGGGCAGGGCCACAGAGCCCAGGAAGGGGCTGAGAGCACAGAGGGGGAGCAGGGTCATGCTGTGTGATCCAGGATTGCACAGGGGTGAGGGGAGGAATGGGCGAGACACCTCTGTGAACACTTATTGTCTGTCTTTGTGTCTCTGAAGATTGGGCCTCACAGAGCATTTCCAAGTCCTACAGTGAAGCTGAAGTCTCTTCAGGTATGGAGCAACACCCATATGGACCGGGGGTCATTAAGAGGGAACAATGGGAGTACACCTGCCTCTTAGGACTCCTGAGAGGACACATGAAGTCAGGAGGAAAGAGAGGAAGTGTACGTAGAAGTCTGCTTTGTTCTTCTATGGGATTGGCACAGTAGCAACAGGTTTTATTTCCATGGGCATGAGGAGAACTGAGTTTTCTTCCTTTGGAATGAAAAAATGTAATTTTCTCTAATACCCACCATCCTTGGCTTTGCCAAGGCAAAGCTGAAATCCACTGCGTCATGAGGGACAGCACTGACTAGGAACTGAGCACAGGAGATGTGTATTTGACTTTGGCACTGACCATTGTCAGTCCATTTGTGTGCAGCAACAAAACCCTTGACGCTCAGTCATTCACAAGGGACAGAAATTCTTTCTTCCTGTTGGAGGCTGGCAGGTCCAAGACCAAGGTGCTGCATTGCTTCTGAGGAAGGGCTCCTTGCTGCATCAAGGACAGGGGATACAGTGGGCGCCCTCTCTCACAGGCACCGGCTGGAACCCACAAAGTCCTTGTAGCAAGTGCCAGCCGACAGTGAATAGTGGACCCTTCCCTCTGCATGGCCAGTCCGTAGATCAGCATCTTCATGCTCTGTCCTCATTGTCTACTCCAGATTACTGGGCCCAACTCAGGCTGGGTGAGTTAAAGAAGATTTCCTCTGGGCTGACTGGGGAGGCCTCAGCATCTTCCAGTTGTGAGGAGAGGGCATAACCCTGAGTTCATCTCAGCTTCCACAACTCACCCAAGTCCAGTGTCTGGAGTAGGCTGTGTGACAGGCTGTCATCCAGCTGCCACTGGAGAAGGCAGCATGGTTGTGCAAGCTTCCCAGAGGATGTGTGTTTGGGGATTCTGGGCTGGACGCACACACTGGTCCTCATGGTCCTGCTGACCTCATCTTCTGGAATGTGCTGGGCTCTGTGGAGGGCCTCTGAGCAGCAGGGCCGAGGGTCACTGGTCCCCTCAGACACGCTGCTCTAGTCAGTGCTGCCCTGTTCCCCCCTCCACTCAGGCCAGGCACGTTCCCTGTCCTCAGGCCTGCAGGTGTCCTACTTCCCAGTCCCTCCACTGCTCAGTGAAATCTCTGGCAAGTCCCATTTATTGATATGATCAAGAATACACCTGCTGTGGAGTCCCTGTTGCCTCCTTAGCAGACTACCAGAATTTGAACAAGTTAAATTTCTTCTCCTCTTGGGGTCATCTTTTCATATGGGTCAGGGAACACAGGGGTTATTGTGAGAAATAAATATTTTCACACTCCCTGAGGTTTCCTCAGACACAGAACAGCGAGTCAACACCTGCAGTTGTTCCTCATCAGCTTTCCCAGGAGCCAGCAGGAGCCAGGCCTGTTACACTTGCTCCCCTCTTAGGAAGGGATCTATAGACTTACCGCTGTGGGTAGCAGTATTCATTTATTTATTTATTTGAAAGGCACAGTGACAGGGTTGGCGAGTGGTGAAGCAGGTTAAGTGGCAGCTTGCAGTACCAGCATCCCATATGGCAGCTGGGTTGAGTGCTGACTGCTCCACTGCCAACCCAGCCCCCTGCTAATGCACCTGGGAAACAGCAGAAGATGGCTCAAGTCCTTGGGCCCTACACCCACGTGGGCGCTCAGAAGAAGCTTCTGACCCCTGACATCTGGCACAGCCCCAGCCATTGCGGCTATCTGAGGGGTGAACCAGCACATGGACGATCTCTGTGTCTCTCCCTCTCTCTCTATAACTCCTCATTTCAAATAAATAAATAAATATTTTAAAAACCCCACAGTATTAGAAAGAGAAGGAGAAACAAGAGGAAGGGCTCTCCCATCTCTAGGTTTACTCCACAAATGGCCCCAATACATGAGCTGGGCTAGGCCAGTCAGGAGCCTGAAACTCCACCCACTTCTCCCACATCGGTGGCAAGGAGACAAGCACTTGGGCCATCTTCTGGTGCATTCCCAGGCCCCTTAAGAGGGAGCTGGATCAGAAGTGGGGCATTCAGGACACTAACCAGTGCTCTGGGGGACGCTGGCATGACCACAGTGCCATCTGCACGTGGCAGCACAACTTTCATTTTGCCTACAAAGCTCTCATAGCTGATGGCAATTTGATTCATGCAGGCTGACGAACGCAAAGGAGATTGGCAATAATTAGGAGAGAGAATAGAGGAAGGGAAAGATGAAGGGTGGAAAACAGTGTGTTACAGAGATCATGTCATGGACATGGCTCCCTGTGGAGTAACAAGATGACACGGGGGTCCTTTCCTGGCCCCAGTCATGGGAGCTGAGGGCGGAAGAAGAGGTGAACGTTCAGAGATCCGCTCATTGCAGAGGTGAAGCCATCCAGGCCCTGGGACAGGGGTGTAGAGGTGGGGCCCCACGAGGGTCCAAGGTTGCCCCATATCATCCAACCAGCAGCAGGGATCCAAGTCCTCACCTCAAGTCTAACTCTCCCCTTTTATTTATTTATTTATTTATTTATTTATTTTTGGACAGGCAGAGTGGACAGTGAGGGAGAGAGACAGAGAGAAAGGTCTTCCTTTGCCGTTGGTTCACCCTCCAATGGCCGCCACAGCTGGTGTGCTGTGGCCGGCACACTGCGCTGATCTGAAGGCAGGAGCCAGGTGCTTTTCCTGGTCTCTCATGGGGTGCAGGGCCCAAGCACTTGGGCCATCCTCCACTGCACTCCCGGGCCACAGCAGAGAGCTGGCCTGGAAGAGGGGCAACTGGGACTGAATCCGGCCCCCCGACCGGTACTAGAACCCGGTGTGCCAGCGCCGCAGGTGGAGGATTAGCCTAGTGAGCCGCGGCGCCGGCCTCCCCTTTTCTTTTCTCTAGCAACCTTGTCACTCCCTGCTCTGGTGCACACAGAAGGCTATGCGGCAGCACCTGAACTTTCCACTGGGTGTGGCAATCGGGGGGTGAGTGATTCCTCTTTCATTTTTTCCTGATTCTCTTGCTTTCTTGCTCACAAGCCCCTGGTCCTGCTTCTCCCATGTTCCCTCCTCACCACAGTGGATGATTCGCATCCTGAAGGACCTGGTGGCATCCAGGCAGTGGATGTCCTTGCACTGTGGATGCTGATCCAGTCTCTCTGCAGCCCTCCCCTCTCCCTTCATCAGCCTTGCCCTCCTCACCCCCACACTGCACTATGAAACGGTGCTGAGCAACCCAACTGCCCACACAGGGAGCTGGGGTGGGACAGGCAAAGTTGGGCACCAATATAAGTGGGAGGGAGGACTCCAGGGAAGTCTGACTCTGGCCTCTATGTCCCCAAGAAAGGACTTTTCCTTAATGCCTGGTTCAGGAAACTCACACTGTTTCTTCTTTCCAGGTGTCCACATGTTCCCTGGAAGTGAACTATCCCCAAAGTCTTCTGGACATGGAGGACCTTGACCAAGAAGAACAGGAAATGTGAGTTTGGAGCAGGAAGATGGGGGGCAGAGAAATAAGTGCACATGGACTTTACTGCTTCACATTCTTTGTGATACCTCAGGGAATCCAACATAATGGAGCCCAGAAGTGGAGAGGCTGCCATCAGCCCTGATCCATCAAATAGACACTAATGGATGTTCAGGATCTACACAGGCAAGTAAAGGATGTGCCGTGAGGTGGTCCCAGGGACACATCCCCATTCCATGGCAGCCCCTAGGGCTCCCAGGCTGAGCCCCCAGTGGCTGCTTTCATCGGAAGGGGAGGACTGGCACATGAACGTCATCAGAGGGAGCTGCTGGCTGTGTGTTTCTGGGGAGAGCCGCCAGAGCTGTGAACATCTCCCTCCAGAGCCCACATCCCTGCCTGCCCAGCCCCAAAGTCAACAGGGAGACTCTCTGCCATGGGGAGACACAGGGTCATCCCTGACCTCCTCCAGCTCAGGATGATTTGGAAGGGGGTGAGAGAATCGTATTTTGAGGCTCCTTTTCACTCCAGGAGAACATCCCACTGCACTCACCTTTGCATCCCTGTGGGCACCCAACTTATCCTGACATTACAGAGGCTAGCACAGAACAAAGAGATGGGGCCGGCGCTGTGGCACAGCAGGTAAAGCCACCGCCTGCAGTGCCGGCATCCCATATGGGCACCGGTTCAAGTTCCAGCTGCCCCACTTCTTATCCAACTCTCTGCTATGGCCTGGGAAAGTAGTAGAAGATATCTCAAGTGCTTGGGCCCCTGTACCCGCGTGGGAGACCCAGTAGAAGCTCCTGGCTCCTGGCTTTGGACTGGTGTAGCCCTGGCCGTTGCAGCTTCTGGGGAGCGAACCATCGGATGGAAGACCTCTCTCCATCTCTCTGCCTCTCCTCTTTCTCTGTAATTCCGACTTTCAAATAAATGAATGAATCTTAAAAAAAAAAAAACCACAAGAGCTACAGTGATTTGCCCAAGCCATAGGGGTCCTCTACCCGCTTTTGTAAAAGGCTGATAAAAGGGCTTATTTATATGGTTGGATTGTTTTATTGGGAAGGATTATAAAATTGTGCATCTGTCTAATTCACACAGAAACACAATGGCAATTCAAAGCAAAGCTCACTTTGAAGAGCAAGAGGAGCAGAGTTATAAATCCTTTTATTTGTGCTCTAATTATAGTTAAATTATATATGCACACTGGGTTTATGACCCAGCTCACTTTGAAGAGCAAGAGGAGCAGAGTTATAAATTCCTTTTATTTGTGCTCTAATTATAGTTAAATTATATATGCACACTGGGTTTATGACCTTTTGAAAAGAAGTGTTTTCCATCACCCCTTCAATGCTGATATGCACAAAAGCAATAATGTTTGGCTTTAAAGGGCAAAAAAAAAAATGATTCTTTTGTGTTTCAAAGGCATAGTTACAGAGAGGGAGGGAGAAACAGAGATATGTTCCATCCACTGGTTCACTCCCCAGATGGCCACAACAGCCTGGGTTTGGCCAGACCAAAGCCAGGAACCAGGAGATTCTTCCAGTCTCCCACATGGGTGCAGGGGCCCAAAGACTTGGGCCATCTTCCACTGCTTTCCCAGACACATTATCAGGGAGCTGGATCAGAAGTGGAGCAGCCTGGACTTGAACTGGCACCATATGGAATGAGGGAGTTGCAGGTGGTATGACCCTGTTATACCACATGTGGCCCCCAGGAATTCACTCTTGTGGGATGTCCAAACCACAAGCAAATGGGCCTCCGTTGCCGATGGCCCAAATCACTGGGCAGATCACAGCCTAGGGTCACCTTTGAGGGTCCCAGAAAACTTCCGAGTCCTGCACACACCCCTTGCACCAGCTGCCACGTCCTTGTCCTCCTCACTGATCCCCATTCCTGTGTCTTCCTGCAGATTCCTTTGCTCCTCGGAAGCCTGCAATGTGGAGGGCGGGACACAGAGGAGTTGGAGCTTCTCCAACCACAGGAAGCTTGAACAACGCAGGAGGAGACACAGCTGACCAGCCACATCTCTCCTCACCAGTCCTCTGCAGATTATGGTATTAAATTATCATCATCCGTACTGGTTGCTTTTCATATGGTTTTGTCCAATGAAGCACATCACAGGGAAACACCTCAGCAAAGGTAGAACTTAAAGGATCTGAGAGCAGTCACCCTAGTGACTACCACCACCACCAACCCCTCAGGAGGAATCCCATTTGATCCTCAATGAATAGTCACTGCCAGGGTGGTCTTTTCAATCCGTTCTTACAGCAATACTTTCTATGGTTTTTTAAAGATTTATTTATTGATTCAAAAGTCATAGTTACACAGAGAGAGAAGAGGCAGAGAGAGAAGTCTTCCATCTTCTGATTCATTCCCCAGATGGTCGCAACAGCCAGACCTGCACCGATCTGAAGCTAGGAGCCAAGAGCTTCTTCCAGGTCTCCCACACGGGTACAGGGCCCAAGGACTTGGGCCATCTTCTACTGCTTTCCCAGGCCATAGCAGAGAGCTGTATTGGAAGTGGAGCAGCCGAGTCTCAAACCGGCACCCATATGGGATGCCAGCACTTCAGGCCAGGGCGTTAACCTGCTGCACCACAGTGCCGGCCCCTAGGGGTTTTGTTGTCACCCATCTGTTCCTTCCATTGGAAGGCATCATGGGGTCCCTTTCACTCACAGTGTCTCTTGACGACCTGGATGCCAATGCACTTTTTACCTAATGTCAGCTTGGATGGCACAGAATTCCAGGTTTAGTTTCTCTTCTCAAGCATCTTAAATATATTCTTTTTCCTTTTGCCCAGACTCGCTGTTTCTACAAGACTGATGAGATTCTCAGTTTCATTTCCCTTTATGTCACTCATCCTTGTATTCTAGATGCCTGAACATTTTTCTTTAATACACAGATTTTACTGGAATATCAATGGCATCAGCCAAAGTCACATCCAGTGGTCTTCTAAGATGGAATCTGACAGCGCATTTTCGTTGGCAGAAAAGTCTGCATTGTGCTGATTGGCTTTGGGTCACTGCACTGTCTCTTCCCTTCCAGGAATCTCAGGCATCCAGCAGCTCCCTGTGCTTCTCTTCATCTCCTGGCATCTCTGATCAGGTTTCTGTTGTTAACATTTTCTTCTATTCACCTTCCGTGTCTTGAAAGGCACAGCCTGCTCCTGTGTTTCTTCTAGTTTACACTTCATGGCTGATGTTCCTTTTCCCATTTTCCTTCTTCTTTCCCCTTTTCTCTCCATCCATTCCCGAGCTTCCTGGATTCTTAGTAATGACGTCCCTTTATGCTTGGTATCATTTTCCTAATGACTTTTCCTCATCCTGGAAACTACCCTGCTGAGAGCACAGATGACATCAAGCTGGGAATGTTTTCAGTGTGGGAGTCCTTGCTCTCTTTCTAGTACTGATTCCCCCCTCTAGTGCCTTGTATGGGGATGGGCATATTCCCATCAAGGTTTGTGTTCTCCCTTTTGATGGGAAATTTGGTTTTTCTAGAATGAGCACTAGGATTCAGAAAAGCTTGCCTCACCTCACGCAGCTTCTCTCAGTGGTTTCTGTGCAAAGCTAGCAAATATGATATCTAATTTCCTAGTTTTGCAGTTTATTTCATATGAGTCGCCCCACCCAAAATATTGCTACTTTAAAGAGGTCTCTTATGGAAGACAACAACGGTCCCACGACTGCACAAATCCAGATTTATTAGCTTTTTTTTTTTTTGACAGGTAGAGTTAGACAGTGAGAGAGAGGGACAGAGAGAAAGGGCTTCCTTCCGTTGGTTCACTCCCCAAATGGCCGCCACGGCCAGCATGCTGCACCTATCTGAAGCCAGGAACCAGGTGCTTCCTCCTGGTCTCCCATGCGGGTGCAGGGCCCAGACACCTGAGCCATCCACCACTGCCCTCCCAGGCCACAGCTGAGAGCTGGACTGGAAGAGCAACAATCGGGACAGAATCTGGTGCCCAAACCAGGACTAGAACCCGGGGTACCAGCGCCGCAGGCAGAGGATTAGCATAGTGAGCTACGGCGCTGGCCATATTTATTCCCTTTTAATGAAGAGTCAGTATCAGAATCACTGAGCTCATGGACTCATCTAATCTACAAAATGATTTTCTTGGAATTATTAGTAAACCTTTCTTTAGTGGACATCCTTTCATTCATTTGATGAATCAGTTTTAGTTTCGTTGAGCCACAAAATTGAGAGTTTTTTAATTTTACTTGTGTCATTTGAGTTTAGAGTTAATAATTTTATTTTATTTTTGTATCAATCTAATTTCAGAAAAATTTGCATTAAATCACAGAAACGCTTTTTAATTAATTAGTGATATTATTCATTTTGAGTCTGTCAGACTGCCAGACAGGAACATCTGGGATCACATTCACCTAGGCCACAACTCTAGCAGGAAATGGCTTTTGCCAAGTTCAGACACAGACAGCAGGCTCACCCCAATCTCCTGGATTTGACACAGCATGGCCAAGAATCACCTTAATTTGTGCCCAAATTATCCTTAAATGCAGTGTTTTGAAAATAAGATCTCATAGGAAAAGCAGTGTTTGAATTGTCTTTGTCAAATTAAAAAAGTAATATATAGATAAAAAACCTATCATCTACATAATGTCAAGAACCAAAGCCTGAGCAATTAAATATGTATACACACACACATACTCTATAGAAGTATGGCTTGGAAGTAAAATGCTGCTGCGTTTATACAGATAATCTCACGTGTCAGGACTACGTGAATGAACTCTGGCTTCCTGTAGCCTGGGGTGCTCTACTGCTCACTGTCCAGGGACTCCTATTGGTGCAATGGCTGAGCCAGACCCACGGCTGCATGTTAAACATCTCCATCACACAAACTGGCATCACTTGTCAGCAAAAGGAAAGATCAAAATCATGTGAGCCGTTCCAGCCTCTGACACCCTGCCACCATGTACAGGTGACTCTTGGCTTATCAAGTGGTAGCTGCATCTTGAATGATGTCCACAGTCAAAATAACATGATGGGGCATATACCTTCCTGTATTCATGTACAGAGAGGCATACAAATATTAAATGAAAGCCAAAGCACATGTGCATAACTGTCGAAATACTTGTGTATGTCTGCACAATATAGAAAATTGTTCTTTTACATGTAGTGCTGTTTCCTTGCACTGCGATGTTTCACCATGCTGGGAAGGAGGAAATCACGACTCCCATTAGTCCTAGAAATGCTCACCCACACAGTTACAGGGTAGTGTCTGTCTGTCTCAGAAATAAATATCCAGAGACAGAAGTCCACCAATGATTTCCAAATACAAGAATTTCTAGGCAAGAAAATGTACATACACAAATCAATCACATACAACACAAGAAGAAACACACGACCTCTGTGGTTAGGGGGCACTGGGCTCTCCCTTCCCTGTTGCTCTGCATCGGGCTCATAACCACTCAAGAAGACCCTTCACACCAGTTTCAGGGTGTGATCACTGATACTCCCCAGGGGTGTGCCCATGCACAACCCTGACCACAGTGACTTCCTTCTCTATGGGGAGCTGGCCATCCTTGCCTGAGATTTTACCCAGAAGGAAAAGAACATTTTGTACAACCCAGGGTCTCAGAGCCTGGACTGCAGACTGGGGTAGATGGAGTTGGGCCTCTCCTCTGAGAACTCCCACTCAATCTGAATTATCTTTATGTATTTGAAAAGCAGGGTGATATGTAGAGAGAGATAGAGGGTGAAGATCTTCCACCTGCTGGTTCACTCCCCAAATGGCCACAAAAGCCAGGGCTAGGCCAGACCAAAGCCAGGAGTCTGGAACTCCATCTGGGTCTCCCACATGGGTGCAGGGACCCAAAGAATTGGACCACCTTCTATTTCTTTCCCAGCTGCATTAGCAGAGGGTTGGATAGCAAGCAGAGCAGATAAGACACAGCTTGACTCCCATATGGGATGCTGGCATCGTAGGTGGTGGCTGAACCCGCTGTGCCATAATGCTGGCCCTTCCTCTGGGTTTTGAGGTTTCCTTTTAGGCAGGATAGGCAGGTACCAGGAAGATGACACCTGGCTGCAGGGTCAGCTATGCCATGGTGCCACCAGAATGTGGATCTGCACACTCCCCAGAGTCAGCTCTGGCCACCATCCCTGAAGATTACACACTCTGGGAGCCAGATTCGGCCAAAATGAACTTGTCCTAGAGATATGGACCAGGCTAGCTGGAGGGCCACCACGCTAGCTTTCTGGGAAACACACGGAACCTACATGCTGTAAGCCGCTTGTCTTGGAGGGGCATTCTGGGCCCACAGCAGGTTTACCAGCCTTCTGAACAACATGACATAAAAGAGATCCAGCTCACCAGGTCAGAGGGCGACTTTCAGTCCTGCTAGCCCATTAAGATATATAAGGAGTGTTTCTAACTTAGGGCCCAACTCTCTTGGGCAAAGAGGTTTAGCCAACTGCTAGAGGTAAGTGGGAACGGGGATTGCTCATGTACAACCCAGGACAAAGTAGGACCTAAGGCCTTGGAAAGCCCACGTCCTGTCCCACCTCAATGCAGCAAGTTTCCAGACATCTCTTGGTTTGTTGGTGAGAGAATGAGCCCTGTATGATGTCCAAAGGGAAACAACCAACTTCCAACAAATCTTTGGCTACACAACTATGTAAATGTTCATAAACACTGAATGAACCTCTAAAGATGTATGTGTGTGTGTTTCTCTGTGTGTTTGTGTAACTACTCACACTTGTTTAAAATTACAGAAAAATTTTCCAGGACCCATCTGGCTACATCCTTGTAGCTGAGAACCTTCAACATCCTAGGAAGATGGATTCATCACTATCATCACTCTATGTCAGAAAAAGTAATATAGCTAGAAAAATCTATGATTCCTAAATATATGCATCTATAAACTGAAAGTATACATATGGAAACAAACAACACACATCAGGCAGGGAAACACACAATTTGACACACAGATAATCTTTTTTGTCCTCAAGACAGTGAGATCTCCTCCCCCTCTCTGGATAGCTGGGAGGCAAAAATACCCATGGAGTCCTTCTGCTGCCAAGTCCAGGGTCCCGTGGCTGACACCAATCTGCACGGCCATGTCACTGAACCACCCCGACAGCAGGGACTTCACTCTCAGTGTGGAGCTGGCCACTCTTTCCAGAGAAACAAAGCACATATTCTGAATACCCAAGGGGACCTGAGATCCACGAGTGACAGCCGTACCTGGGCCTTTCCCCTGAGAACATCTCACTCTATTTCCTAAAACTACCCTGGAGGCAGCACTCACAGACTTAAGGTGCTATGGTGCCAGACTGAGGATAGCCATGAAGGAAAGGCAGCAAGATGGGAATTAGGGGACTTCGTAGGGCCCAGGAACAGCTCCAGACTGGTATTACCAAGCATTATTAGACCACCGAGTCTGGCCCACACTCCCTTGAGCTGGAAAGTGAACCTGGCAAGCAAAGGGCCAGCTCACTGACTTGGAAACATTTAGGATCCACATACCCTAGGCCTCTCTCACTTGTGGGAGACACTCTGGACCCACATCTTTCCTTTTACAAAAACACTTGAAGGCCGGCACCGCGGCTCACTAGGCTAATCCTCCACCTTGCAGCGCCGGCACACCGGGTTCTAGTTCCGGTCGGGGCGCCAGATTCTGTCCCAGTTACCCCTCTTCCAGGCCAGCTCTCTGCTGTGGCCAGGGAGTGAAGTGGAGGATGGCCCAAGTGCTTGGGCCCTGCACCCCATGGGAGACCAGGATAAGTACCTGGCTCCCGTCATCGGATCAGCACAGTGCACTGGCCACGGCAGCCATTGGAGGGTGAACTAATGGCAAAGGAAGACCTTTCTCTCTCTCTCTCTCTCTCTCTCTCTCTCTCTCACTGTCCACTCTGCCTGTCAAAAAAAATACTTGAAAGAGTCTACAGATAGGAAATGGATCCTTTACCTGTGTAGGTGTATTCTTGGGTACAGAATGCTCCAACTCCTAGGAGGAAAGAATTCATTACTATTGTAATTTCTAGAAAGGTATACATATAAAACTACATACACACATATTGTAGAATAACATAGCCACAAATAAATCTACAACTCCCAAATACATGAGTATCACCCTGAAACAGCTCACTGGCTCTCAGTGGGGAGCTGGCCACTCTTCCCAAAGATGCTTACCACAAAGGAAAGTTCATACCTTCAATAACCCATGGAGGACTCAGACACTCAGGTGCCAACAGGGGAGGCTGCAGCTGGGCCTCTCCCTTGAGAACATGTCCTCATTCTGTGTTCTGAGATTGCCATGAGAGCAGTTCACAGAGGCATGAGGTCAGGTGACTAAAGGGACAAGATGCAGTGCCATCAGAATGTACATGTTTGGGGACTTTCCAGAGACAGATTTGAGTCCAAGCTACTCTGCTTCCAGTCCAGCTTCCTGCTTATGTATCTGGGAAGGCAGCAGAAGACGGCCTAAGTTCTTGAACCCCTGCCACCCAAGTGGGAGACGAGGATGGAATTCCTGGCTCCTGGCTATGGCTCGTTCCACACTTGATGGTTGTAGCAATTTGGGAAGTAAACCAGTAGATGGAAGTGCTCTCTCTCTAGCTCTCTCTCTCTCTTTCTATTTCTTTTTCTCTCTCTTTCCTCCTTGCTCTCTCTCTCTGCCTTTCAAATAAATAAGTAAATCTTTCTTTAAAAGCAACTGCAAGTTATGTATGGAAAAACTGAGAAAGTGACTACAAATACCCAAAGATTCAGACTCAGAAAAGATGTAAGAGAATCTAAAGCTTACCCTTAGGTTTACCCTAGGCACAGACATAATGTACAATAGTAAAAAATGAGAAAATGCTAATCATGAACAGCAAACGTGGGTGGAGACGATTTTGAGTTACCACATTATGGAGTAAGAATGTCCAGAGCTTGGGTGTCCGGCAAGATGGCGGAATAGGAAGGGAGCACACTGATAGTTCGGGAAGAGACAGTTTAATAAAAGTTGAGATACTGCAGGTTCAAGGAAGAGTTGTGGAAGAAACAGCAGAGGAAACTCTTCCAGAACCAGTGATTCATGGTGGACCTGCGTAGAAAGCGTGGGAGCCCACAGCTCAGGACACCAGTCGCGGAATCTACACAGCAGCGCTGGAACGCGAGGTGAGCCAAAACCTCAGTAGCCTGGGACACTGGCGGGAAAGCAGAAGGAGAAGCCTAGAGGGAATGAGGCCTGAAGCACCATGGGGAAAAGTTCACCAGGCTAACTCGAGAAGAGAGAGAGAGAGAGAGAGAGAGAGAGAGAGAGAAAGGACTGGTACAGGCACGAGTCTCTCTCTCTCCACTCACCTCTCAAAGGCAAGCAAGACAAAGAGCAGGTACCATTTTGGACATACGTAAAAGCTGTGCGACCTCCGGGCTGCACCTGCCAAAGCCAAGTGGAAAAACTGGACTCTGGGGTGTGTGTGTGTGTGTGTGTGTGTGAGAAATAACAGGAGGTTAGGACCTAGTGAATGTGTGGAGCTAATGAACTGAGGCAGTGAAAAAAGAGACAGTGGGTGAGAGAACTCACAGAGTTCACGTGAGTACTCTCCAGAGACGCTACAATTTGGTAAAATTGGCAACCCAGTGAGAGACTGTAGGGGAATTTGAGCCCACACTGAGGGCAGAACAGATTCTTTGTGTGGTCCTTGGGAAAGAGCAGATGAATGTTATACCCACAGGAGCCAGAGATCAGAAGCTGACTACCTTCAATTCCGCTCAGCTGTGCAGAATTACTTCCCTTCTGGATCAGAGAGAGAGAGAGAGAGAGAGAGAGAGAGAGAGGAGAGAGAGAAATTTACCATGCCTAACCTGGATGTGTCACCTTTGGCACACCCCTAACCCTGAAGAACCAAACAGAGCTCTCTGGCCACACCCATCTGAAGCCTCTAAGGCTCCATCAAAAGCAGACAGTCCACTTAATACAGTCATAGTATAACAAGAAAAAAACACCACAGCGAGGGAAGAAGAATCCAAAGAATATCTCAACAATGCCAAGCAACAAACGCATAAACTGAGGAAACAAGAACAAGGAAGACATTATGACACCCCCAAATGAACAAGACACCCCAAGTCAAGATTATGAAGATGATGAGATAGAAGAAATACAAGATACGTATCTCAAAAAATTTATGATAAGAACATTTAGAAGTTTTCAAAAACAAATTCTTAAACTACAGAAATCCTTACTGGACAGGATAGAAAATCTCTCTCGTGAAAATTAAGTCTTAAGGAGGAATCAAAATGAAACACAGAAACTAGTAGAACAGGAAAATGCGATAGTGCAGAGAAACCAAAATGAAATGAAGAACTCAATAGATCAAATGACAAACACATTAGAGAGCCTTAAAAACAGAATGGGTGAAGCAGAAGAGAGAATATCGGACTTAGAAGACAGAGCACAGGAAAGTATATAGTCAAACCAAAGAAAAGAAGAGGAAATTAAAATCTAAAAAATATGGCTAGGAATCTACAGGATACTATTAAAAAACCCAACATTCGGGTTCTGGGAGTTCCTGAAGGCATGGAGAGAGAGAAAGGATTAGAATGCCTTTTTAGTGAGATACTAGCAGAGAACCTCCCGGGTTTGGAGAAGGACAGAGACATCCTAGTACAGGAAGCTCATAGAACCCCTAGTAAACATGACCAATAGAGATCCTCATGATGACACATTGTAATCAAACTCACCACAGTGAAACATAAAGAAAAGATCCTAAAATGTGCAAGAGAGAAACGTCAGATTACTCTCAGAGGATCTCCAATTAGACTCACAGCTGACTTCTTATCAAAAACCCTACACGCTAGAAGGGAATGGCGAGACATAGCCCGGGTACTAAGAGAGAAAAACTGCCAGCCCAGAATATTATATCCTGCAAAGCTCTCATTTGTGAATAAAGACCTTTCATAGCAAACAGAAATTGAAAGAATTTGTCACCACTCGTCTAGCCCTGCAAAAGATGCTTAAAGAGGTGTTACACACAGAAACACAGAAACACGGTCATCAATATGAAAGAAGGTAAAGGAAGGAAACCTCACAGCAAGATCACAGGAAGTTCAAAGCATATATTAGAAAATATCTCTGGGAAAATGGTAGGGCAAAGTTACCACTTATCAATAGTCACATTGAATGTTAATGGCCTCAACTCTCCAGTTAAAAGACACAGATTGGCTGAATGGATTAAGGAACAAAACCCATCTATTTGCTGCTTACAAGAAACACATCTTTCCAACAAAGATGCATGCAGATTGAAAGTGAAAGGCTGGAAAAAGATATACCATGCCAAAAGAAATGAAAAAAGAGTGGGCGTAGCCATCTTAATATCTGACAAAATAAACTTTAACACAAAAACTGTTAAGGGAGACAAAGAGGGGCAGAGCTCTCTGCTGTGGCCTGGAAAAGCCGTAGAAGATGTACCACATCCTTCGGCCCCTGCACCCACGTGGAAGACCCAGAGAAGGCTCCTGACTCCTTGTTTTGGATCGGCATAGCTCTGGCCATTGTGGCCAACTGGGGAGTGAACCAGCGGATGGAAGGTCTCTCTCTCTCTTTCTCAGCCTCTCCTTCTGTCTCTGTGTAACTCTGACTTTCAATTAAATAAATAAATAAAATCTTTTTTAAAAAAAGATGTTTCTGCACTCAAAAGAAACACTTAACAAAATAAAGCAACCAACAGAATGGGAGAAAATACTTGCAAAGTATGCAACTGATAATGGATTTTCTAGGATCCATGAACAGTTCAGGAAACTCAAGAACAACAAAATAAACAAGCTAGCTAAAAAGAGCAAAGGACACGAGTAGGCATTTTTGAAAGGATGAAATACAAATGGTCAGCAGAAACAGTATAAAATGCTCAGGATCACTAGCCACCAGGGAAACACAAATAAAAACAACCAGGTTTCACCACACCCCATTTAGAATGGCTATCATCCAAAAATTGAAAAATAGTTAATGCTGGCAAGGATGTACGGAAGTTGGTACCCTAAATCATTGCAGGTGGGAGTGTAAACTAGGACAACCACTATGGAAGACTATATGGCAATTCCTCAGAAATCCAAAAATACATCTATGATATGACCCAGCCATCCCACCTTTGGGAATTTTCCAAGCAAAATGAAATTGGCATATGAAAGAGTTATTTGTACCCCTATATTTATTGCAGTTCAATACACAGTAGCTAAGATATGAATCAACCGAGATGCCCATCAACTGATGACTGGATAAGTAAAATTTGGTATATATACACTATAGAATACTATTCAGCCACGAAAAAAGAGAAATCCTGTCTTTCACAACAAAATGGATGCAACTGGAAACCATTATACTTAGTGAAATAAGCGAGTGCCACAAAAGACAAATACCATATATTTTCCCTATTAGTTTCTGTGGTAACTAATAGAACACCAAAAATGTAATATATGATGATTTGCATTGCAATCTGCATGAAGTCATACCTGTGCATAACCTGTTAAGAAGAAATGGCTAAAAGTCTAAATGAGCTAAATTATTACCTTGTAACCACAGAGGAAATATCTGGATGTTACATTGTCATTGGTTCTATTTCATTGAAAGAAATTATGAATGACAAATAAATTGTATATGGGTGAAATGGTCATTTTTTCCACTCAATTATTATTTATAGCCATTGTCTATATTCCCACTAAATTAGAGTCTTTTTGCTTTTTACTTGGTAAACTTCTTACTCCCTGAAGTATTAAGCCTTTTTACTGTAATGTAAGTTTAAAATATGCTAACTTGGGCTGGCGCCACAGCTCAATAGGCTAATCCTCCGCCTGCGGCGCTGGCACCCCGGGTTCTAGTCCTGGTCGGGGTGCTGGATTCTGTCCCGGTTGCCTCTCTTCCAGGCCAGCTCTCTGCTGTGGCCCGGGAGTGCAGTGGAGGATGGCCCAAGTGCTTGGGCCCTGCACCCGCGTGGGAGACCAGGAGAAGCACCTGGTTCCTGGCTTCACATCAGCACAGTGCGCTGACCACAGTGTGCCATCTGCAGAGGCCATTGGGGGGTGAACCAATGGAAAAAGGAAGACTTTTCTCTCTGTCTCTCTCTCTCTCTCACTGTCTACTCTGCCTGTCAAAAAATAAAAAAATTTTAAAAATAAATAAAATATGCTAACTCAAAAAATTTGTTTAAATGACAGAAAGGTAAAAAGAAGAAGGGTAAGAGGGAGGGTGAGAGGGAGGGAGGGAGGGAAACCAGGAGCTTCTTCCAGGTCTCCCATGTGGGTGCAGGGACCCAAGCACTTGGGTCATCTTTCACTGCTTTCCCAGGCCATCAGCAGGGAGCTGGACTGGAAGAAGAGCAGCTGGGACTAGAACTTGCGCCCATATGGGATGCCAGCAATGCAGGTGCAGGCTTAGCAGCTGCATTACACCTGCATTATAGCACCTGCATTATACCACAGCACTGGCCCCCTGCACAAACATTTTGATACAACCTCATTTTTATATACTATGCTTTTCAAATGAGAAATATACATTTACTAAAAACTAGTGATGTAAGAAATTCAGTTAACACTCAGAAGATAGTTGCATTCTCAAAGCAGTTTGTGAAGGCACGTGAACCTCTAACTGCTACAGTTGCTGGTAAATTCACAGAGGTATGTGTATTCTCACCTCCAACAGGTTAGTAACTTGGGGAGAGGAGTAGTATGTGGTCTGTTCACCTTATACATTCCTTCTCATATTCCCAGCCCTAGCTACTGAGGGAGAAGACTAACACATTTTGCTGCTCACCCACAGCCCTATCACTTGCTTTGGCAGGGCTTCCTTGGTTGCTTTCATCACACTATTCATCACCAAAGTCAGGGACACTTTCCAGTTACTCAAGTTCCTTAAAATGTTGCAGAGAAGTGCTGTGGCTTTAAAGCGCTCACTGATTTAGGGCTTACTATGAATGCAATGCTGACATCGCTCTATCCCATTTTAATCTTCACACTGTGAGATCGGTATTGACAAATCTCGTATCCAAAATGAAAATATGTGGCAGGTCGTGATATCTGTAGGTGTGTCTTTTGTGACTTGAGGATCTTCTCGGCACCAGACGTAGGCCGGTTTTAACACCAAGCGCTTGCCCTAGACAGTGCCAATGTCAAGAACTGGAGAAGTGTTCTTTAGTTTCAATGCGTGCACACAAGGAGCATCAAGGTGAACACAGAGTTTTTCATTTTACTGACCACACTCCCCTTCAACACTATAATCCTGAACGTTAGCCAGAAGGACTGGGAGGTGGGGAGGACGTGCATTTGAGTTATATATGATCACATACATTACACATGTGGTGGTGTTTCATAATTTGTGTGGTATATAACAATAAAAACTGATGTCTGTTTCTAGTGATTCAGTGGTGAATCTTACTTGATTTTGAAGCGAAAGGACACCTCAACTGTCAACTGCTGGAGTTTCGATTTCTAGTCACAAAACATTTTGAAGTTAACATGAAGATTGTAGGGAGGACATTTCAATTAAAATTCTAACAGCTTCGGGGCTCTCTGACCTTGAAAAGGAAAACGAAGACACTGTGTGACCACCTGAGAAGCAAAGCTTGAAGTTCTTTTGTATCTTAGAAGTGGTGTTGCTGTTCTAGGATTCCGGGTGGTGGAGAAGCCTTTGGATACTCTAAAGGAGGGAAGTCCATTATCACTGCAAGGAGAGAGGTGAGGGAATAAGGAAAAGACTTTTTTCCTATTTCTGAAATTCATCTTTAAGACTGGTATTGTGGTGCAGCAGATTAAGCTGTCACTCCTATATCAGAATGCCAGTTCCAGTGCTGGCTGCTCTGCTTATGATCCAACATCTTACTAACATGCCTGAGAAGGAAGAAGATAGCCTAAGTGCTTGGGCCCCTGCCACCCGTGTGGCAGCTCCTGGCTCCTGGCTTCTGCCTGACCTACCTCTGGCTGTTATGGACATTAGGGTAGTAAACCAGAAGGTTGAAATATTTCTTTTTTTAAAAGATTTATTTATTTACTTGGAAGGCAGAGTTACACAGGGGTGGGAGAGAGAGAGAGAGAAAGTCTGTCTTCCATTTGCTGGTTCACTCCTCAAATGGCCACAATGGCTGGAGCTGCACTCATCCAAAGCCAGGAGCCAGGAGCCAGGAGCCAGGAGCCAGGAGCTTCTTCCAGGTCTCCCATGCAGGTGCAGGGGTCCAAGGACTTGGGCCATCTTCTACTGCTTTCCCAGGCCAGAGCAGAGAGCTGGATGGGAAGAGGAGCACCTGGGACTTGAACTGGTGCCCATATGGGATGCTGACATGCAGGCAGTGGTTTTACCCACTACGCCACAGCACCGGCCCTGGTTGAAGATATTTCTTTTGTTCTTTCTCCACTCTCCTTCCCTCTCCTCCCCTCCCCTCCCCTCCCCTCCCCTCCCCTTCCCTTCCCTTCCCTCTCCTCCCCTCCCCTTACCTCCCCTCCCCTTCCCTTCCCTTCCCTTCCCTTCCTTTCCCTTCTCTTCTCTTCTCTTTTTCTCCTCTTCTCTGCTCTCCCTCTCCCCCTCCTCTCCCTCTCTCCCTCTGTTGTTCTTTCAAATAAATTAATACATATATATTTTAAAAAATTCATCTTTTCAGATACATTTCAGGCCATCCCTATTAAATTCCTGGGCAGATTTTTACATTGGGCAATACCTCACAGAAGGCTGATATTTAAAATCCATCAGCTGATCTCCTGCCAGGAAGCTTAGGGAAGAAATAACATCTTCCCAGTTTTGGGTTAAGAACTTGTTTTATGCAAAATAGTCTTTTTTTTTTTTGGACAGGCAGAGTTAGTGAGAGAGAGACAGAGAAAAAGGTCTTCCTTTTCCATTGGTTCACCCCACAAATGGCCGCTACAGCCGGCGTGCTGTGCCGATCCGAAGCCAGGAGCCAGGTGCTTCCTCCTGGTCTCCCATGGGGTGCAGGGCCCAAGCACTTGGGCCATCCTCCACTGCACTCCCGAGCCACAGCAGAGAGCTGGACTGGAAGAGGAGCAACCGGGACAGAATCCAGCACCCCGACCGGGACTAGAACCCGATGTGCCAGTGCTGCAGGCAGAGGATTAGCCTAGTGAGCTGTGGCACCAGCCCAAAATAGTCTTTCAAACACAGATCAGTTGTCTCAGCAAAATCATCTGAAGGTTTCAACACACTCTCATATAAACATTTGGTTCTTTGTCTGTTAATTGAAGGGTTTGAATGGGAAAAGGGGCCAACCTATGTACCTGAAAAGGATCTTCTATTATTTTTTTCTAGAATCTATGGTCCTAGTCTCAGGAGTCTTAAGTCAGCGGTAGGGATGTCAGCAAGTGAAATACAGTAGACTCCCATGGATGATACCTGATGAAGGGACAGATCATCTGTACTCACCACCAATCCGTTCTCTGTATGGTGTCTCGGCCTTTGACTCACAGAAGAGCAGAGTTTGTAGAAGTGCAGCTTCCACTTACCAATTTGAGATCCATGAGTGCCGAGTGCCCGTCCCAGACCTCACTGCCAGCACATCAGGAACTTCTGGAATAGAGGGCAACAGTGGTGATGGGCCCTCCCAGGATACCGTGTGCTGTGTGTGCCCGTCATCACCAAGATATGCATCCAAGAAGAGTGGACATACTTCCATTTTTAGACATATTATCAGCACTCATCTAGACATTCTCCATCCATTTGTTCTGGTGAATCTAAGACCACTATTTTTCCTTATGAAGGAGAAGACATCCCAGAAACAAACTATTCAGAAAGCATTGTCAGATAGATTCCAGAAACTGTTGATTGTGGTTTTAGGTAGGGCTTTCTCAACTATCTTTAAAGTGCTTGTTTCCATGAGCAAATAAACTCATTTTAAAAAGTTACTAGGATTTAAAGAGGGACATCGAAGATGTTCCATAGTATGCTCTTATTTACTAAAGTTTTCACAACAATGATCTCAAATCTGTTATGACATTTCTGAGAAAAAAAGCCAGCAAACACTATCTTCCCGGTTTATAATGTAGAATGATAAAGTGTTTGATCCAGCTCTCCTTTCTTGATCATTGCCTAGTATACGCTGTGCTAAAAAGCACTGGACACTGGGATTTGAGTCCTAATTTTGTCTCAGATTTTTTTACACAATTTTACATGTTATAGATGAGAAAGAGTTGAAGATTTCTATTATCTCTAAGCTGTCATCTCTTCCATAAAACAGGTTTAGCAATTCAATCCACCTTATGAAGGATATTGCCAAAGAGATGATGAATGGAAACAGCTTCTACCTATGGCTACATTGTAAGCAGAGAGTATGTGTTAAATCACTGCAGAGGAGGGAAATTGTAAGATTCTGTTCTCTGAATCAAGAATTCCGTTTCAGGCTTCATTGCTGACACAGACATTGGGCAAATATGATTTGTCTAATCAACTGCTTTTGTGTGAGCCTTGAAAGAGGCCACACTACTGAGTGTCATTGATGGTGATCCCTGCTAGTTCCACAGTGGTATGAATGTTTTATGTGTTCAAAAGAAACTTGATACTTTCCAGAAAGTCTCTGAACATAATTGCTCTCCTGCTTCCCAATCCCGAAGGCCTAGACAGAGAAATTCTAGCTGAGTTATCCAAGGTGGCCTTGATCTAGGGCAGCCCTTCTAGTGGTGGTCTAATTTCCCTTGCCCTCAGGTGGAATTCCCATCACTGAATACCCTTTATGAACCAAACTAAAGGTCTAGGTTGTTTACCTCTCCCTAATATGTCTCCCTACCCTTGTATATACTCAAACCTTCTTGGGTCCAAAGCTGTGTGTCTCCAGGTTGCCTAGAAGAGAGTTGTGTTTTGAGTTGGTAGGTAGGCCAGTATCTGCAAATAAAATGCTGAAATGCTCTCTCCAAAGCTTTGTTCACAATCTAGTGCAGTTTTGGTTCAAAGGGAGTACACAACTGCCCCCAACGTTATACGATGAAGTGTGTTAGTTCAGTGGTCTCTATCCCAGATTTAAACTCACTTTGACACACCCACCCACCTAATACCTTACTATTCAACACCGATAGGACATTTTTGTTTCCATACTTCCTATTTCCATAGCTTCTACATCTAAGATCACAAAATTCTTTGAGCCAAAAATAGTTGGCACTTCATACATTTTTTAACAACTGTGAAAAAAAAAAACAAAGTGTAAGGTGAGAAAATTTCTAGGAAAATGCTCTTTCTGCTCTTAGAAGCTCTGCTCCAAGCCCATCCCTTTGGCCTCCAGGCCATAGAAAAGGATGGACCTGAACCTTACAGAATGTAGCTCTCTCGAGCATGCATCACTTTGCATGTAACTAAATCTTGTTTCTCTGCTAAACTTTACTTAAGTCTCATCCTTGAACTCTTTTCTTGCCCTGAAGAAAAGAACATGGACAAGCCACCCTACGACATTTCCAGGGGTTGCAGATGCTGGGCTGCTTGAACACAAGCCTTTCAGAACTCCCCACATACAGGATCCCAGGAATTCAGAACAAACTAACTGTGGTCTTATGTGAGTTTGATTTGTTAACTCAGCCCAAAGTTGTGTTTTGTTGGTTGTGTGTGTGTGTGTGTTGTTTTGACAAAGGTAGCGAAAGCGGTATTGCCAGTAAGGCTGGAAGTTGAAGCTCAGCACTTCCAAAATTTGCTTCTCCCCTTGAAATATGGAAAGAGCTGTGACATCACCAAGGTAGTCTAAAGGGGAGTTTCTCACAGGCAAATAGGCCTTTTAAGCTTCTGGGATCATCCCTCACTTCTCCCAGGAAGACAGGCCAACTCTTCACAGCATTTGTTCAGGTACATTTATAATGGAGTCCTTACCTCCCCATTGGACAAGAATTCAGAGGAGAGACAAGAGACTGGCAGCAAGCACGCTAGTGAGGTTGATGAAGAAGTGCACCTGACTCATCAAGAAGGGAGCTCAGCCAAAAGTCAGTGTATATGCCCCCATCCGCATTTAGACTATGGTTTGTATGGGTATGGGCAAATTTTTTCAACCATATTCCCTACCCATCTCTGGAAGATTACTAGGCAGAACACCCAAGTGCAGGATCCTCCCTGGGTGTTACATTACTGGGCAGAAAGGTTCCTGGCACCAGACTTGGGACCTTCCTTACAATGATATTGGGCAGGGCCTTTGATCTGCAAATGTTGGGTTGTTCTCAAGACATGTTTCCAAGATATCTAGGCCCCTTGTCTCAGGTAATTGATTTTTTTCCTCCCATAAACATAGGCTAGTACCTGTCAGTTGCATTCTGAAAAGTATATCAAATTTTTTTCCATATAAAACACTTTAATCCAATTTAAATAAAAGCCAGTCAATGAAACTGCAAACTTTAAGAAGTTCCTGGGCCGGTGCTGTGGCATAGCAGGTAAAGCCGCCACCTGCAGCACCAGCATCCCATATGGACACCGGTTCGAGTCCCAGCTGCTCCACTTCCAATCCAGCTCTCTGCTCTAGCCTGGGAAAGCAGTGGAGGATGCCCCAAGTGCTTGGGCCCCTGCACCCGTGGGGGACCCGGAAGCAGCTCTGGCTTCTGGCTCAGATCAGCACAACTCTGGCCATTGCATCCATTTGGGGAGTGAACCAGCAGACAGAAGATCCCTCTGCCTCTGCTCCTCTGTAAACTCTGCCTTTCAAATAAATAAATAAATCTTTTTTTTAAAAAAACCTTCCTTTGAAATATGAGAGAAAGGAATTCAGCACTGATTTTAGAAACTTGTTAACAGATCCTCAAATGAACCAAATCTTGCGCTCACTTCCATTTTTTAAAGATTTATTTCTTTATTTGGAAGGCAGAGTTACAGAGAGGCAGAGGCAGAGAGAGGTCTTCCATCCACTGGTTTACTCCCCAGATGGCCACAACAGCCAGAGCTGGGCCAAACTGAAGCCAGGAGTCAGGAGCTTCCTCCAGGTCTCCCACATGATGAAGGGGTCCACGGATTTGGACCATCTTCTACTGCTTTCCCAGTCCATTGCAGACAGCTGGATCAGAAGAGGAGCAGCCGGGACTCGAGCCAGCACCATATGGGATCCCAGCACTGCAGGCACCGGCTTTACCTGCTAAGCCACAGCGCCAGCCCTTTCACTTCCACTTTTAACACCATTACCAGGATATTTGGCAATAAAGACATTTATATCCCACATTCAGAGTACCTGGGGTTCAACACACAGATCTGGCTTCTAACTCCAGCTTCCTCCTAATGCAGACTTCGAGAGCAGCAACGGCTTGGGTAGTTGGGTTCTTGCCACCCATATGGCAAAGCTGGATTGAGTTCTTGATTTCTGGTTTGACTGGCCCCATCTCAGCCATTGCAGGTATTTGGGAAATAATCCAGTACATAAGAGCGCTCTCTCCCTCCCTCTGTCTCTCTACTTCTCAAATAATCATTTCAAA